CTTTTTCCCAACTACTACATACTATTGTTTAGTTTGTGAATAATCATCGATTACCCACTGGTAGAGATCAGAGTTAAAATTTCTCACCAGATATCTGGATTTGAAAATAGCTTTGACAAGGGGAATATATTCTGCAAAATTGAGCATCAGCAACTCCATTATTCTGTGGTCTCAGCCTGTCATCTAGAAAAGGAAATAATTTTCTTATTGTATTTTCTGTAACTATGATGTATAAAAATTTTGCTATATAATTTATATGACGTTGCTCTTTTGTGACCAGAGGCTCACTGAGCTAAAAAATGTATCTAAACTTTAGCAAAGAAAATGTTTCATCCCATTCTTTAGATTTCACTTAATTCCAGAAAAATTAGATGGCATCCTGCAAAGGATTATACAGTGGGACAGAGAGACATGGGTTCCACTCCTGAGTCAATGTCTGCAAACAGTGCTCACTTTTGACCTTAGGTAAACCACAATGATCCTCTCAGTCTCCAGCTGGCTGACTTTTGAGTGACAAAGTCAAGTTTATTCCAAGGGCCTTGCAAGCTCTAAAACTTGACAGTAATCTCAGTTTGATATATGATATATAGAGAAGACCTAGATTGCTCTATGAAGAAGTTAATGGGTTATTATAATGGGAATTTGAAAGGCCATAATGCCAGTAGAAATGTTTACAGGGATGACTAGACTTCTAAGGTTCAGAAAAGAACAGGAACTCCATTGGGAATTTTATTAGACGTCATTTATACTACATTACTATACTATACATAGTATACATATACTATATTAATACAGTATAATATAGTAGTTTAATATAGTCTAGTTTATATATAGTTTATATAGTTTAATATAATATAGTTATGTACATATACTATATTAAACTAAACTACATTATGCTCACATCTTGAAACTTTTAGTTACTCTGAATTTAAAAGCTATGAATTAAGTTGTTCAATAAATAAAAATTCAACCTGACATGACATTAAGGCTTTAGTACAGTTATTACTCACTGTTCTTACTGATCAAAAGAAATAACATATAAAGTAAGTGTTATAATAGCTGGTGCAACAACTGGATGGATAAAGGAGACTGTCACCAAGCCTGATAGCCTGTTTTGGATTCATGGGATCCAGGATGTAGAAGGGAAAACTGACCTTCGAAAGTTGTTCTCTGACTTCTACATGCAAGCCTTGGCATGGGCATTTGTATTCATACATATAACACACAAACACACACAAGTATGTAACACACACAGGTACACATAAATGTACTGAAATCTTAAAATATATTATAAAATTTCTATTTTATTTTTTATAGGCTAAAATATATAACATGTAAAGGGTATCCTCATCCAGAGCCTCTGAAATTATAGTTACTCTAATTTTATGGCCTGTATCAAAAAAGAATCCCAAACTCAGCTACATGTCTTACAAGTATCAGTATTCAACTAAGGGCACCTAATATGTTAAATTTTGTGTGTGTGTGTGTGTGTGTGTGTGTGTGTGTGTGTGTGTGTGATAATTTAAAAAGAAGAGGCCATGGAGGTCATGAATTTGAGAGTGAGTTGTAGGGAGATGAACATGCGAGGAGGAGTTAGAAGGTAAGAGATAGGGATAGAAACGATGTAAATATAATACCCTAACATGAAATCCTATGGAAAACAAACAAATAACAACAAAACCAAAACTTTGTGTCAAAATTAAATTTTCTTTTTGGAAATATAGTACAGAGCTCTATTGTTTACCAAGCTATATTAGTTAACTTTTATGCTAGTGACTAAAGAAATGAGATGTTTACTTGGCTTACAGTTCATGATGGAGATGATATAGTTTCAGGGCTGTGAGGTAGCTGCCACACTACACCCATAAACTGTAAGGAAGCTGAATGAGAAAAGTGTTGTTTGCCCTTTTTATTCTGTTCAAAAATCCAGCTCATGAACTGGCTCTACCAACTTTTAGAATGGATTTTCCCACTTCAATTAATTTAATTTAATAAGAAAAAATCTCCCTCCATAACATTTGTATTGATGGTAAGTCTAAATTCTGGCCTCAGTGTGTCTCTGCAACACAAGGACTTCTCAGTCTTACTTCTTTCATGCTTCCAAAAAAGCATGGACCACACTGCCATTAGGCTGCCACATGTAGCTGGAGGTTGGCCCACCCGGACCACAGTTGCATCAGCTTCTGTGTGCTGACTATGAGGAAACATTTCCCTAGGATGTTCTTTTCAGCAGGGAACCCCTTCAGTGGCACTCACAGTTTAGGGTCTCTCCTTTCATGTGAATTTGCCTTTTTACAAGATGGAGCCTTCAGAGGGTGAGATTTTGCCTTTGGGGAACTTTTCCTATTGTCTGAGTGAAGAGTTTGGGTTTCTTGAACAATTACAGCTACTTTTCAAACTGCCTTGACTGTAATTTTGTTTTATTTATTTATTCTTTAAGATAAGTTTTTATCGATTCTTTGGGAATTATGCATGTAAGCCCCACTCATTTTCCAGTCTCTCAGTATCTGCCCTTCACCCTTGTAGCATTCCCCTCCCAAATGAAAATTTAAAAATAAATAAATAAATAAAAACACTAAAAGAAAGAAAAAAAGAAACAAGAAACAAAACAAAAAGCTCCCATCAGCAAAATCACTTCACTCCTCTGTCTTTTCCACTGTCCCTTCACCTCTTCATTTGCCTTAGTGGCACTGGGAGCTGTAGGGTGTTACACAGTCAATTCCTTTGTTCAAACAGCTTTGCTTGCAATGCTCATGGTGTAACGAGTTAAAGACCTCTGGCTTCCAGTACCCCATCAATACTGGACCATCACTGAAACTCCTCTCACATACTCTGCTATTGCCCCGAGTCATGGAGATCCTGTGGCTAGGGTTCCACAGGACCAGTTATGTGCTCCAGCAGGTCATACATATACAGGGTGAATGTTGGGGTATGTAAACTCAATGTTCTGGATGTAGGCTTTGGTGATAGCTGAGTAGGTCAGTCTGGGCTAACGGGACCACCCCTCTCAGGTGAGAGACAGAGCCAGCTCTCCCATGCCCATGGTGAGGGATGGGGCCAGATTTCTCAAGTGTGGGGGCCAGTTCTCCTATGGGGGTAGTGCCAGCTCTCCCAGAGCCAGTGGGGAATAGGGTCAGCTTAACACACATGGTTTACATGAGTCTTTGTGGTAACATGGGCAACAGAAACAGACCTCAGCTGCTGCAGGAACTTGGAGCCAGACATGGCTCTTGGCAGCAGCCTGTGCCTATATGTCACCATGGCCCCAGGTAGCAAGCACACCAGCCACAATAGCCCATTCCTACCACACGCACTTCTTCAGGTCCACCTTTCTACACAGCACATACATCATTCTGCCTCTCCCTCTTCCACTTCCCTACCATATATTCACCCACTATAATGGCACCCGACCACCCGGGGCCCAGTGGTTTCAGGCGGGCCCATGGTTGTCTTGTACCCATCCAGGCCAAGTGGTACCAGGTGTCCTCTACATGCCAGGGCCTTCTCTGTACTTTTAAACTATTCACACTTTGCAGGTTTTTAGTATCTTTTGACTTTATATTTTGTTCTCACACTGCAGAGCTGGAGACTAGTAAGCAGTAGTCATACCACCCTCGGAATGGAATCTTAATTTTGAATTCCCACTGCTAAACAAGTTAGTCCACTACTTTTTGATTCAACCGTACTCAAGTTCTCAGGGCATCGGCAAATGTAGTCATGCTCTTTCTTGAAGTCTAACACTGATTGCCTCCAGCCCAGTTCCCAGTGTAGTACTTTTTCCCCTCTGTAACATGAGAGAGGCTATCAATGTTTATATTTCCCTTGAAATTCTTGTCTTCTAAGCTCCCTCAAGAATAGCCCAGTGATGCTCTATACACAGCAATATGGAATTTTTCTAGCCTCAAGTTCCAATCTGTTTCACAATCCTTCTGCAAACTAGTTCCTAAGGCTTACAAACCACATGGTCAAGTTTATTCAGCTACAACCCTACTTCAGGACCCAGTGTTCTGTATTAGTCACTTTTCTCAAAAGCAACTCAAGGAAGAAAATGTTTATTTTGACTTATAAAAAGATGTGGTCCATTATGGCAACTAATAGTTCACAGCAAGAATATGAAGCAGCTGGTCTTATTGTATCTACAGACAGTGGACAGGAAGAGATGAGTCTGGTGCTCAGTTCCATTTCTCCTTTTTGTTCAGACTGACACCAGAGCCCACAGAATAGGGCCATCCACATAGATGGTATGTCTTTTCACTCCAACTAATCTAATGTAGAAAGTTCTTCACACACATGTACAAAGGTTTGTTTTTATGGTGGTTCTAAATCCCACCAAGTTGAGACTATTGATCATTACACCAGACATATGTGGTATAAAATAAAGGGGAAGTAATATGATCTAGAACTTGACAGAAAGATAAGAAGCTTCCGAAGTGAGAAGAAAGGCAAAATCTCCAAAGACAATGGGGTTGTCTCAATCTTTCTTTTTTGCTCAGTCCAGACGTAGAATATGCTACTTGTTACTTGTGACTATGAGAAGGCCCTATCAAAAGATAAACTGAGAATGGCGGAAAGAAATCCAAAAAGATCAGTCTAATGATAGCTTCGTTGAGACTCTGAAAGGACTCTGGAAAAGCCATTACACCATGCCTTTCCTTCCTTATTTCTATGTGAGGGAATGTGAGATTATTTATTAATTTTACACAAATGAGATTAGCTTTCAAAAATAAAAGGTGTCCGAACAGGTGTTAAGTGATGCCTTCACTCAGAAGACCATAAAGCACCGACTTCCTGCTGAAAGATCAAGCAAGAGGACTGTACTATGGGGCAGACAACTAAAGGTGTGTTGTCCTTATCAGGTGACCAAGCAGGGAGTGGAGTGAACAAACAAGCAGAATGACTCCCCTTGGCAGGGAACTAGCTAAGGCAGCTGTTGCTTATCAAGGACACACAAAAGTTTATTATGGTGGTGTGTTACACCCCACTAACAAGACATGGAGGCACTTTGATGTGTGTGTATACATAAATATAAATTATGGGTGTCCAGGTCTGCAGTTCCACAGGAGGATAGCATCTTTTCCAGCCAAAACCTTTCCTGGACTTTCTGGTGAGTGAATCTGCTCTTTGGGAACCCTCCCTAATACTCCAAAAAATCTTTAAGAACTGCAGTATGGATTTTGATGTTCCTCCCCATTTACTCCCTTGGCATTAGACATAGTCCTCTCCCTTCGTTCATGGCTGCACCAGAGCTCAGAGATTCACCTCCTTCCCCTTTTTCTTCCAGCTCCAGAAGGCTGACTTTCTACAAGCATGAAGTCTACAATATGTTTCCTTCTCATCTTCATCTCCCTTCTCCATCTGATGATCCCAGTGAACACTCAGGCCTCCAAAGACTCTTTGGTGAATAAAAAGATTCAGGAAGCTCTCAATGGTAGAGGTCACTATTGGGGTAAGGAAAATCTGAGCTTAATCCTTACTTATGCTACCTAAGCCTACGTCATCTCTATCCCAATCCAAGACCTCAGCCTCTGATTAGTCCACTGTAGCCCTACTTTCTGTTCAAGGATTCCTGTATTATCTTACTCCTTCTTGAGCTCTTGATCAAAACAAGATGGGGAATAAGGAGGGTAGTAGCTGTAATGTATGGATACATTGTGAATCAAAGATATTTCACAGATTCGGGTTTGTTCATTCAACTTTTACAGCCAATTATGAGCTAAGAGCAATGTTACTTTTACTTCATAAGCTAAGAAATGAAATCTGGGGTCTGGAGAGATGACAAAGGGTTAGGAGGACCCGGGTTGATTCCTTGCACCTACATACATGGTGACTCACAAACATTTGTAACTTTTGCCCCAGAGGGTCTGACTGAGGCATGCATTTGATGCATAGATATATATGTGGGCAAAACACCCATTCACATAAAAAGATTTTTTAAAAAGACATTAAACCTTAAAAGTTAGTGCGTAACCTGACTATGGGGGATGGAGGGATGGGAAACAACTCGAAGACCAAAGAAGAAGATGTGAGAAAGCAAGAACATGAGCAATGCCCTTTGTTCCCTACTACTCAGAGCATCCTCTCTTGGCAGAACCTAAGAAGCTCTCCTGCACTAGCGTCAGCGCATCAGGCAGATGGGCCTCCTGTCCTCCTGGTGAGTAACTCCACAAGAAGAATTTTTGAGCTTGATGTCCTATGTTCTTCTCCATCAATCTTCTATTATTAAATTATTAAATTAAATTTGTACTACCATGGGGGTGAGCCACAGTCTCCAGTACCCATCCCTTACTGATTTTCAGTGTCTTTAAGATGATGCTGAGAAAACTTGAGCTTCTGTTCTTCCTTTCATTTCTTTGTTGTATTCTCAGATGCCAGCCCTTTGAGTCATTCTTTGTCTGGTCATGGATATGGTCCTCATTTGTTTCCCAATCTATTCCCTTGCATTGCTGGGCAGGGAGCCAACACAGAGGTGAATTTGTCATCAATTGAATGACTTTGGAACTCTAAGTCATTTTGTTTAAGTGACTTTTTTGCTTAAGAAGTTTAAGTGACTTTTTTTCCTGAAGATAGTTTCCAAACTTGAATTAGTTTTGCATAAGCCTAGATTTATCCATGAACTTAATAAGGAGAACAGTTGGAGACTCACTATCTCTTTACAATAGAAGGGTACTGATGTCTGTATCTCATGTGACCATGCAGGGATGGCTGTCACTGGTTGTGCATGCGGCTCTGGTTGTGGATCATGGGATGTCCAGAATGGAAATACCTGCCACTGTCAGTGCAAAGGCATGGACTGGACCACCGCCCGCTGCTGCCGGCTGGTTTGAGAATGAGGAGACTGAGAATCCGTCTATGAAATGAGGACCATGATGAAACCATGGTCTCCACCAGAAAATCTGATTCACTGTGTCCATAATAAATTTATGTTACCCAATAATTCTTCCGGGGTAATATAAACATATCTGTTCCTGTTCGTGTTTATGTTTAATGCTACTACTTCTAGCCTGGGTACCTGTTGACAGAAAATATTTTAGTAATTCAGTAATTTCACCTCAATATAGCATGTAAGATGGATAGTGAAGAGAAAGATATGGAAGGAATGGGAAAATGGACTGACCCTCTGGTTCTCCTAGTACCATATGTTTTAACAAAAAATACCAAATGAATTGTTGACCAGAAAAAAAAAAACAAAATGTTGTGCTTTTATGGAGCTCTTTAACTGGAACAGTAAATTCCAAGCCATGTTCAGGAAGACTCTGCAAGGAGCAGTCAGTTCTAACTTCTCAGTATGTTTGTGCACCCTTTCCAACTTAAATGCCTGAGTTTACTTTCATCAAGGTAACCTTTTACCCATTGACTTTCTTCCAGAAAGCCATAGAATTCCACAGCCCTCACCTAGCATCGAGTCTTGATACATTGCATCTTCCTGTGTAGACAAATTTACAGAATTCCAAGCTAAGCAGCAATTTTAAATGTCTCTACTAATGTTAAGTAAATGGGTGACTCCGTTGCTTGACAGCAAGTGTGTTGTAAGTGAGGGACTGGTGATTTTGGAGCTTCATGCTTTCAAAGGAGGATATAAATCAGTTCTCAATTCTTAAGCCATCAAAAATAACATTTTTTAATTGGTGTAACTGTTGGCAACTTAATAGAAATTCCTACACATTGACTATCAATATAATAAAATCTTCCCTTCCTATCATTTTAGTGATTGGATTTCTCAAAGCTAATGATCATGAATTAAAGATAGAAATGAAATTGAGTTGTAGTCATTTATCTATCTATATCTATATATCTATGTCTATGTCTACATGTATGTCTATGTCTATATAGGTTATTTAGGAATAAATTCTCATATTGCTCATTAAAAACACAGTTCTTTGGGGTGGAGAGAAATTGCTCAGTGGTGAAGAGCACACGCTTTCGTAGAGGACCTTGATTAGGTTCCCAGTACCCACGTATACTCCAGTTCCAAGAGATTTGATCCCTTCTTCTGACCTCTATGGGTACTAGAAACATACATAGAAAACATACATGTATTCAGACAAAACACTCATGTGCATTAAATAGAATAAATAAATCTCATAAAAACTAGAAACCTTTTTCTTTTTTAAACAAATTTCTTTATTTATTCTTGGGGAATTTCACATCATGCATCCAAATTCTGTTTTCCCCATATCTGCCCCTTACTCTTACAGTATTCCCCCCAAACAAAAATTTTAAAAAAATAATAAAATAAGTAAAACCAAACCAAAACAAGCAACCAAGCAAACAAACAAACAAAAATCTCTGCACTCCTCCATTCTTCCTGCCCTCCGACACTTCTTCATTCTTCCATGGTGTGTCACACAGTCTATACCCTTTGGTCCAATCAACTTTTCCTGCCAGTGTTCATTGCAATGTGTGATCGGTCTTGCTCAAGGCCTCTGATTTTCAGTACTCCATCACTACTGGATCCTCACTGAAACTCCACTTGGATATTCCATGACTGCCCAGAGTCATGGAGATCCTATGGATATTTTTCCACAGAGCCAGTTCCTTCACAAGCTCCAGCAGGTCTTAGATGGGGTAGATGTTAGGTTGGACCAACACAGGGCCCAGCTGTGAGCCTGGGTGGTAGCTGAGCTGTGTGTCCAGGCCACTGGAGCTGCCCCCTCAGGTGAGAGGCAGTGATAACTCTCCCATGCCCGTGCCATCAGGGACAGTTCTCCCTTGCCTGTGGTGAGGGTTGGGGCCAATTCTCCCTAGTGTGGAGGCCGGTTGCCCTATGAGTCAGGACCAGTTCTCTTGCTACAGTGTCTACTGAGGAGCAGGGTCCACTTTTCCAGGGTCAACGATGGGTCAGGCTAGCTCAGCATGGCCCTCTGATTTCATCCCACATGGTCCCTAAGGCCTCTGTGGTAAAATGGGCTAAAAATATCAACACAGACCCCAGATGTAGCAAGACCACTATGAGGGCTCACAGCTGTGAGTATGTTCCACCTCTCTGACTAAAGGTCATAGAGTTTGAACTTATTTTTGCTCCTTCAAATTTGTTGGCAAGAGGTGTGACTGCAAACAAGAGATCCTGATTTAGGTATGGTTAATTAGTATTTTGAGCATAGAGGTAAATCTGTTCTACCTCGGTCAATGCTTGGAGAATTTAAGTCTTTTCCTTTATATCATGTTATTGAAGTCTGCTGTCTCTCCCCTCCCCTTTTGGAGTGAAGTATCTAAGCATGTGGAAAATAAATACAGGCAGTTCAGTATTCAGTGAATCTCCCTCCAGATGCTTTTCTGTGTTTCTGCTTTTCTCTCCTATCTCTGTTCCTTTTTGATTAATAATTCTAATCTTCTTGCTCCTACACTGGAACCTGAGGACTCAGTTAAGGCTGGACCCTGACAGAGGGCAGGCCAATGTGTGGCTTACAACAGACCATGGACCCAGACACAGCCCTCAATAGCAGCTCAGGACCGGACGACATCATGGTTTTGAGTGGCAGCACAGGCCACACAGCCCTAGTAGCAGTGTGGTCCCTGGACTCTAACACGGTGCCAGGTGGAGGCCTAGACCTCAGGTATCCACATGACCTTCAGTGGTAACAGGAGCAACAGACATCAACACAGACCCTGGCTACAGCGGGGTCCTGTAGAATACTTTTCTAAATACACTGATTGCATTTACTAATTTCTCATCAAAATGTTTTATCAAGGGACTGGACAGATGGCTCAGAGGTTAAAAGCATTGCTTGCTTTTCCAAAGGTCCTGAGTTCAATTCCCAGCAACCACATGGTGGCTCACAACCATCTATAATGAGGTCTGGTGCCCTTTTCTGGCCTGCAGGCATGCACACAGATAGAATACTGTATACATAATAAATAGACAAATATTTAAAAAAATGTTTTATAAAGTTTCTGTTCACTTGTATACCATTGATAACTGGAGGCATAGCTTGTGCTGGCTACTGTTTGGTTAATTTGGTACAAGCTAGAGCCATTTTGAAAAGGGAAAATCACATTTAAGAAAATGTCCCCAGCAGACTGACCTGTGAGCAAGTGTTTGTGGTAATTTTTAATTTAATGACTGATGTGGATGGGCCTAGATCACTGGGGACAGGGCTACCCCAGGGGAATTGGTCCTGGATGGTATAAGAAATCATGGTAAGCAGACCATAAAGAGCAAGCCATCTTTCATGGCCTATGCATTAGTTCCTGCCTCCCTTCAATTCCTGCCTTTACTTCCCTAGATGAAAGACTTCAAGCTGTAAGATGAAATAACCCCCTTCCCCCATGGTTTGCTTTGGTCATAGTGCTTTTTTTTTTAATCACAGACACAGAAATCCTAAGATATAATTCATTATAAACACACACAGAGAGACACACACAGCTTAAGTGAACATTTTAACATATAAAGAAGACCATAGTGTGTTGGCCCCAAAGAAAGTGAGCTTTTTTCCATCTTGTCTGATGATCAGAGAGTTTTAGCTTACTCAAAGTTGTTGATAACAAGTGTGGCTACATACCCTGGCCTAAGGTGTGGTTTCTTGACATTTTTGGACATTAACATGGCCCATATAGATAGATCCACTCCACCCTGACCAAAAGTCAGAGAATTATATCATACTTCTGCTCCTTCTTTTGAATTAAGAGGTTTGACCTCAGGAGTGGCTGCCTTCAGGGTACTTGATATCCGGGTCTTCGATTTGATTCCATTGGTCCTCCTGTCTGTTCTCATGACAATACAAGGCTATTTTCAGTACTGTAGCTGTATAGTAGAGTTTGAAGTCAGGGATTGTGATGCCTCCAGAAGTTCTTTTATTGTACAGGATTATTTTGGCTATCCTGGGTTTTTTGCTTTTCCATATGAAGTTGAGTACTGTTTTTTTTTTCAAGGTCTGTGAAGAATTTTTCTAGAATTTTGATGGGCATTGAGTTGAATATGTAGATTGCTTTTGGTAAGATTGCCATTTTTACTATGTTAATTCTACCTACCCAAGAGCATGGAAGGTCTTTCCACTTTCTGATGCCTTCTTAAATTTCTTTCTTCAAAGATTTAAAGTTCTTACCACACAAGTCTTCCAGCCCCCAGCACCACCAGTGTGTCCTTGGAGCTCCAAGGCATATCATAAAATACCTGGTGGCTTTGGGTGAATTCCCAATTAACCAATAATAAAGAGTGGGCCATAGGATATCTCCATTTTCCCCTGATGAAGGACTGAGAGGCTTTGTCAGGTCCCTATGTTCCCAGTGTTAGTCTTCTGCTGCCACTTTAAGAACTAACCACGCCCACCCAGCCACCTCTGACCTCCCCCTTCGCCATTTTTCTCTCTCTCTCGTGTGTGGTTGTCTCTTGTCCTGTGCACACGTTTCTCTCTGTCTCTATGTCTTTATGTCTTTATATTTGTCTATCTCTGTTTTTCTGCTTTTCTATTTCTTTTTAAGTAATAAATGTTTACCCTTATGTTTATTTACTATGTCTTATGAGCCTTTTATCCGCCATAACAGCCCGCCTGACTCCCCCGGCCGCATGGCGCTGCAGGGACTCATGGCCATCCTTGCCGGACTCCGCGAGCGGCCCGGGACATCCCATCATCATATTCTTTTTAAAAGAACAAAACCCAGTAAAAGTACCCTATGACCAGAATCCAGAGACCAGGCAGAAAATTGTCACAGGAGGCTAGCTGAAAAAAGACTTCAATGACTTACCAAAAAAGGGGGTCTCTATTTAAATATAATGCTTGATATATCCTTTTTCTTTTCTTAAAATTTTATTTTATTTGGAGCATGATTATTCACTACCTAAAGAGCCTAGCTTCAGAATGTGGGGTGGAATTATCTCCCTGGAGCCTCCAAATATTAGTTCTAAGATTTGTCAAAGAAAAACAAAACTTGCAGGAAGCTTTATTCAAATATTAAATACTGACCAAGATGGACTTTGGTCAGGATGACTTCCCAGAGGCACATGTTACAGCGTCATTTAAGTACAAACGCGTATGGTCACCTATTTTCCTAGGTGGTTTGGCTATTAATTTTCAAAAACTATATAACTCATAGCATTCCAGGAGAGTGGGGCTTACAGGTTAACTTTGGATCTTGTAGAAGGAAGCACTGCTTCAGTTTACAGGATTGATCCTCATAGGGTACTTCCTGAGAAGCAGAAGTTCCAAAGTTTTTCCTGCATTTCCTTGAAAGAGGATATTTGGTTTGGGACAGTGGTCTGTATTCTGTCAATCATATTTTAAATAAACATTGATTGGCCAATAGCCAGGCAGGAAGTATAGGCAGGTCAAAGAGAACAGGAAAATTCAGGGAAGAGGAAAGTCCATGCCTCGGCAGCCATGACCCAGCCACAGAAGAAGCAAG